GGTCCTTAAGATTGTCTTCCGCTCCTGGTTGTGACCAAATTGACCCGAAATTCTTAAAGAGTACGTGTGCTTCTTCATCGGTCATACTAACAATGATCTTTCAGCAGTCACTCAACCAAGGTTGCTTGCCCGCTGAATGGAAGATCGGGAAGGTGACTCCATTTCACAAAGCTGGTAACCGCCATTCCCCACTTAATTACTGACCTATATCACTTACCAGTATACCGTGCAAAATATTGGAACACATCTTATTTTCGAACCTTGTAAAACTCCTCGAATCTAATTCATTCTTTACCCTAGCACACATGGTTTCCGAAAAACATACTCCTGCGAGACCCAACTGGCATCTTTCACACATAAACTGAACGTTATACTGGATCACTCTTCTCAGGCCGACTGCATATTTTTGGATTTTTCTAAAGCGTTCGACAAGGTTTCCCACAGTTTATTAATGCACAAATTACATCAACTAAACCTTGACAGGAAATTACTAACTTGGATTGAATTCTTTCTTAACAATCGTTCTCAGTATATTGCTGCTAACGCGGTGAATAGCCGCCACACCGCTGTTCAATCTGGAGTACCGCAAGGGTCAGTGCTTGGTCCTCTTCTTTTTCTTATTTATGTTAACGACTTACCTACGTGTCTTTACTCTCATGTGCACCTATTTGCTGATGACTGTGTAATATTCCGTGAATTAAGCTCCGATGCCGACGTAACTGCTCTTCAAACTGACCTTACTGCTGTCTCAATTTGGTGTCAAAAATGGTTAATGCAACTCAACGTCAACAAGTGCAAGGTTATGAGAGTGTCTAGAACAACTAATTCACCTCCTACCTACTCTCTCAATGATCTTGCATTGGATACCGTTTCTAGCTATAAATATCTAGGCTTACACATAACCAGCCCTTTAAATTGGGCAATCCACACTGAACACATGAGAGATGACAGAGAGATAAATAAAATAAATAATAAATAAATAAAACACATAATTGGAAAAGCAAACAGAATGCTTGGGTACCTACGTCGCAACTTTGCTAAAGCTCCTTTTTCCTTAAAACTCACCCTCTACAAAACATTGGTTCACCCTAAATTAGAATATGCTGCCTCGATTTGGGATCCTGTACCTGCCAATCTATTACACTCAGTCGAAACGGTTCAAAATAATTCTACCCGCTTTATTTTTTCCAACTATAACCGCACCGCAAGCATATCGGCAATGAAATCTAGCTTGAACCTACCATCTTTAGCATCTCGCCGTCAGTTTCTTCGTTTGTGTCTTTTTCACAAAATATATCACCATCCCCAATTACATAATGAACTTATTTCACTACCAGATTATGTATCACCTCGTCTAGATCATCGTCACAAGGTCGGAGTTCCATTATGCAGAACAAATGGCTGCCACACATCATTCCTACCACGCACGAGCATCGAATGGAATCACCTTCCCCCATCAATAGCAACTATCCAAGATCATGAATTGTTTAAAAACGCCATTAGCTAAGACTGTGTGAGTAGGAGCCGCACCACTGTAATAACTGCATATCCATTGCTGCATTTCAGTATTCCTTTTTTTCTTTTTTTTTTCTTTTTGTGCTAATACCACTCCCTTCTGTAATACCTCCCGGTCCTGAGGGTACCAATAAATGAAATGAATTATTTTTGTAATAGTTTTTGCAGTGTTATTCGTATAAGTTTACTTGATATTATTCATGCATGATTGTCTGCCATTCCTGCTGCTTTGCCAACGTGTGAACGGAATTGGGACCTCGCCAAGCTCTTAAACTTTTAGTCCTGTACTCCTCCTAATCAAAAGGAAATAAAATGATTGATTGATACACATCACATAAAATACAGCTTTACTGTTACTAGTTGAAATGTTGAAGATCGATAGTTCATTGTCACAAGTGGTACGTTGGCAAAACAGGACAAGCTGTTAATGTTAGATTGAATAGGCATCGCATGGACACAGGGAAAAAATAACCAAAAGCACTGGCACAACATTTTATTGTAGCAGTTCACGACTTCAACTGTATACCTCAAACTTTACATCCTACAAACTACCAGTCCCCAAGATATAGAAACTGTGCAGTCACACCATATTAAAAAGTTTAATACACTCTGACAACCATAATTCAAAGACACGTGTACAACCCCTCCCCCCCCCCCCTTTTTCATGGAATAGCCTCTTTCCTATTGTGTCGTGCAACCTCGGGTGTCATTTCAATTCACCAGTGTATTCACGATGCCTGTCTATGCCACTGGATGGAGCGAGGTGTCCAATGATGTCCGTTTTCTGTAGCCAAACTGTGTGGCCACACAAGTCATGTGACTCATGAAATGCTTGCCAATAACCCCTTTTTCCCCTCCTTTAAAAATGTGGTAAAATAAATGTTGGACAACATTCTCTAGTATCGCCAGAGTTTCGTCTGCGTTTTGCCACTCTACACACCGTCGTGTTGCCAGGCCTCTCCATCGGCCTGCCACAGGTCACACCATACTACCTGGCAATAAAAACAGTTATGACCAACTCAATTCATCATTGTAGTCTGTCATCGTCTCCTTGTACCCCTTCCCCACTTTTTTGCAGTTGCCCTCTCCTCCTGCTTAGCTTGGATTGCAGGAGAGGGAATGAAGCGTACACACATAAGTGCTAAGGGAATCTGTTACAGCACCCACACTTTGTCAACCATTTTGTTATTACAGAGCGTGGGCAACACGGATATTTGGGCAAATTGGTTTCAATTCATTAACAAGAGGACAAAGAAACATCAAGACAAACAGTGATCCTATTTGGTCGGTTGTGAAAGGCTAACCACTTTTATATGGAAGACACTTCACTGCAGTCACTGGCCACGTGCCATGCTGTCTGACACTTTTGAAAAACGTATTCGGACAGTTCGGTCAATGAGCTGCGCATGCAAACATTTCCGTACTCACTTATATATTCTATCTGTAGATTGCTTACTCGAACACCGTCAATAACCTTGATGATGCTGATGAAGAACACGACGCATTCTATTATGTCTGTATTTGACTTGATTTATGAAGTGAAAGAATAACATGGTTTCTTAATGCCAAAAATTATTAATCACACAAACCATCATTGAATGAAGACTGTGTTGACACTGTGCTCCATCAGTGCACTCCATACCACTGCTTTTTCAGACTTGAAGAGCCTGACTGTGTTACTGCTATGCCTGGACACTTGCTTAGAAGCAACCTCACCGAGCTTCCCTATATGTCCACAGCTGAACATACTAGGTGCCGATGAGCAGTGCATGTGCTAGACTGTCTGCAATAGCTCCAGCTTGAGTTGCCTAGATAGGAACCATGTTCCTTGAAGGCATCTGTGTGGTTAATCTAAGGCACGTTCATCTTAGCACTGGGGCTCTGTCCCGATATACACCGGGATCTATGGTGACAGCGTCGCTGCACAGCTGATGTGCCGTGAGTTAGTGAGTGTGCTGTCGGTGCGTGAACAGACACTAGACTGGAGCGTGTTTTATATGTTTCTGCATGTGCAACGTGCCTGTCAGTTCCATCCTGCGTCCACATTGAAGCCTCTATCTTTTGGAGAAATTTTTCTTGTGTGTAAAAGGCACAAGCCCACATCATTACCACAATCACAGACTGAATTCTCTTCACAATATTGTATATATGATGTAATTTAACAATAAAAATCTGATCAAAATAAGCACTTTATGTTTTTATGTTGAATGGCTTGGCCATTTTGTCATTCCCATAACACACAGGACCAGTTTGAGCATGACAATCTCGTGCAACTTTCAGAATACATGTACTGCAGTCAGAGACTGCATGAAAGATCACTGAGCGCCATCTTCTTCCATATCTTGTGCATCTCTGATGCCTAATAGCAATAATTTCCAAAAAGGTGACAAGTGTTTTAAAGTGGGCTTGCTATTTCCATCAGATTATAATTGACTGAGGGTTGCAGCTCATTACATGTTTGCCTTTGGCATGGAGAATAAATACTTGTGATACTTTTGCTGTTCCTTTGTCTAAACCAGTTGATCTAATTTGTGTAATAGCTCACTCGCATTACAAAATAAAGTACCGAGACATCTGAAGCCTTTTCAGTCTTTGTTATAATTTCTCACGTTTCATACAACACTTTGTAATGTGGCTTTCCCCATCTCGCACATCGTGTAGAACTTCGCATTTTCACCGAGAAAAAAGTTACTAGCACGCTTGGTAATTAATTCATAACGCCACCGAATTCGGTACATTTTGAAACACCACTTGCCCCCAGCCCTTTTTAACTAGCTCAAATGATACGAGCGACAGTATTCACAGCAGCGCAAGCACCATTACTGCGGACTCTTTTTTTTTTTTTGCTATGTGTGAACAGCATGTCTTTGCATAAGTTTTTGTGTGTGTGTGTGTTTGTGATCATGCTGCTCGACCAATAGGCGCCAAAAACTGCGGGAACTAATACAGCGCACCCATCAGAAAGCTTCCCTGATGCTGTTGCGAGTGAAATATGGTCAACTGGTACAAGATGCAACTTACGAAAGCACCTGCACGAGTTCCTTGAGAAAACAGCTACTACTGAACTGCAAACACATCAAGGTAACATGTTACGCAGTACCAAAATCGGGTTTTTCATCTAGTTCTGCAACAGACAGTAGTAGCCGCACTTATTTCAAACACATTATTGATGAGAATTAATCGTGCTTTCCTGAAGGAATCAGTTAGCAGCGCTATTTTTAGGTAACGCAACAGGGTCAGCCAACACGTTTTTAATGGTCAATTCAATTTTTGTGGAAAAGCGTTCCGATTTTTTTGGCACCCCTAACAGCTTTCGTGTGGCACAAGACTGACGTATATCGTGTAACTTGTTTTATCAGAAGCGGAGTTAATTCTGCACATTAAATACGTCTGCAGCGTGCCCGAGGATTCTGCAGTCTGCCGCCTTTGTCATTATTCGAGAAACAGGGCAGTAGTTGGTTACTGGTAGCAAAACAAGCACAAACCTGTACTCCTGGTTTCGTGACTGGTTGGGGCTCTCTCCATGCTCCAAAATCAGCTTGTACAAATACTTGTTTATTTTCACACTCATGCTAAACATTACCTGGTTATCAGAAGCGTATTTCTGCACCATAAATCACGAAATGACTGCAAATTTGTATGTGCAAACGCCACATGAGTCATCCGCGAGTGTACGCAGATGCCGTATTTACATACTGCCATCATTTTCAGCACTTTGCTGTTGATGTCGATGATGATGCAAATGCTTTTATTTTCAGACTTTCAAACTTTTACCTGCTAACGTTCACAATAATCTTTAAAATTATAACTCTTATTTTATTACTTACTACTATTCATAATTTTGTGTGGCATTTCAAAAATGTATACGCAACATAAAAAAAAATTTTTTTACATTTACACAAGCTTTGGAGACAAAATCCGAGTCAAGATAAACCAACACACAAGCAACATGGGCGCCCTGAAACGGTGCGTTCGCAGTGCGTGGTTGCTTGTTTTACAGACCTCCGTGTTTCGTAATGTCTCTGCCATTGACAACTTGTGTTTTCTTGCTCTGCCACGACTAACGACGAAAAGGCTCTAGCATTGATAAAGACGTCCTGCGAAATAGCGGCTCAATCAGGTTACTGTAGTCAGGTCGTCTGCAGCTCAGTGGAGTATGTCTTCAGCCACTTTCACTGTCACTGCCCTGAGTATATTTTATGCATGCATTTTGGTTCTGCCTTAACATTTTTCTTCTAGCTGCTTTGATGCTGCCATGTTTTTTTTTTCTTTTTTGATGCTGCTTCGCCATTTTTGCATTGTGGTTATGTAACTCTCTTTTTCTTATTGACCAACGTTGTTAGTTCAACAAATTTTATTTTATGCATTCATTTTGTCAACTTCATGTGTTGCCCCTATTAAGCTTTTTCTAGTTGGGAAGAATTTAGTTCGCTTCTTACCTCTGTGCACCATTGCTGCTACAGAAACCATTTCATTTCGTTCGTTCTCTCTATGTCGTTATAATTTCCGTTTTCTAGTACATCGTCCTATTTTTAAGGGCTATCCTGGATTCACGCTAGTCGATCTCGGCAAATATTTCTTGCCCTAATTTTACCTAAGTGGGCCAGTTTCTTAATGGTTATAACTAATAACTTTTATCTTAGTCGGCATGGCTTCAGAAAAGGTTACTCATGTTACACTGAGTTATTTAGGTTCATGACTAATATTCACTGTAATCTAGACACAAACGATAGAACCAATTTCCCCTTCTTTGATTTCGCTGTGCGTTCAATACTCAAACTAATTACCATTTGATTTCTACATTGTCTGTCCTTTGTATTCCTTCATTACCACCATCTTGGCTACAAAAACTTTCATTCTTGGTGGTCAGCTACATCTCGTCTAATGTTTTCGACATCACCTGCAGTGTTGCCCAAGGCAGTGTGCTAAGTCGGTTACTCTTTCTAATATACATTAAAGGGGCCCTGCAACACTTTTGAAATGGATGTCACTGTTGGCTCATGATGCCTCACAAATCACATACCGAAATATTTTTTTGAATATGCCGATTACAAGCGGAGTTCGAGGAATTTGCTGAATACTTCAAGCGCTTTCTCTTTTCGTAAAAGCGAGTGCACTGAAGGCAACTTGGGTAGGGACACAAGGGGGCAAAAAGATGCACCCTTTTGTCAGCGCACGTCATGACCTTGAGCACTTTCCTTTTTTTTCTTAGAATGCATGGCTACTTTCAGGGTGAGCACAAGCGCTGGCACATGGCAGCAGTTGCAGTGGCCACAGTATTTGCATAGCCTATGATGCTCAAATCAGTCAATGGCTGTGGACTCGGGTATGACACAGTAATCCAGGTATAAGGCATCACCTGTAGAGAGACGGGGGAGCAATTGCTGGCCGACTTTGAAAATTAATTGTGAATTTTAGACTGCATGCTGCACTCTAATGTTTGGCTCATGTGCTTTCGGGAGCTGCGACTACCAATCAGCAGCGTTTTCTGACAATGCTAAAAAAGAAAGTGTTGCAGGGCCCCTTTAAGGACTTACCCGCTGACCTTTCATCCTTGATTTAGTTACATGACAACACGTCTATCACCTATTGCAGTATTAATTTATGGGCTAGTTTTTCTTTCTCTTTTTTTGATGATCATTTCATTTCTCAAATGACCTTAACTTGATGTTCAGGTAGAGTGCAACTCGGCAGAACTCACTCATTGTACGATTAACAATACCATTATTTCAGCTGCCCCTTTATACAAATAAATATCTTTGTGTTTACCTTTCATCAGATTTATCCTATACTACGGCGTGTAGCAGCTATCTCAGCAAAAGCTCAATCTGCAGGTTACCTCCACAGAAACTTGTGCAATGCATCTTCTAATGTATATGCATTATCATATCTTATCTTTACCCGCATTTAGAGTAAGCTTCATCTAGATGGTCACCATAACGAAATTATCTAGTCCATATGTTGGAAGCCATTACAAATAGGGCAGGCAGATTCACCTACAATAAAACATGACACCATAGAGTTTCCTAAATATACACTAGAGAGAACTCTGGCGATAGTGTCTATGGCAACTACCATGCATGGCAAATTAGCAAACAAGGAATGGTGTGTAGTACACGGATTCGTCCAATCTTCATACATCTGGATTTGTGTGTATTCGTGTGGCTTGGAGCTGTTTTCTCACAAAACGAAAATCAGCAAATATTCAGTGATGGCACTTCACCACGTTATTCTTCTAGGCTTACCATTTCAAATCGGGTCATGAAGTTCAAAAAAGTTTCTTTTCTTTGAAACAAAACCGAAAACAGCAATAAATGAAGCCACAAGTGGGGTTCGCCACCCGCAAGTACGAAGAGTAGGCAAATCTGTGTACTACCCATCATTCCCAGGGTCGCTAAACGATCACTGTGCCAAAGTCCCCTCTAGTTAATTTTAGTAAACTATGCATGACATGGCCCAGCCACATCACTGCTCTTATGTGTCTCTTTCACTGGTAGAGTATTGTGATGAATTTTAGTACTGCTTTATCCTCCTGTGTACACGTCTTGGCACATTCACAGCACAATTAGTTTCATGTGCACTCATGGTTACACGCAGGCATTTAAGTTGTCATTACAACCTAGGCACTTGCATATTCGAATCAGTCTTTTGTATCACATTGCATCTAACTGTAATTATAAAATTTTTAGTAGACTTTCAGTGATAATCTGATTCGTTACATGTTGGTATTGTGTAACATTATTGCCCCTTGCCATTTGTAGTTTTTGTTTTACTGTTTTTTCCTTGTATTTTTTATCTGTCTTTCAGTTACTGATGTCCTCCTATCGGCGTGTAAGGTATTTTGAATGAATAAATCAACTGGCTCTTGGTCTTCTCACATTGAGGGCTACCCTCACCAGCCTATGATAATTACATTCTACCTTGCCCCTAACTTCTCTCATGTGCATTGCCTGGGTCCCAGGATTATATAAAATCTAACACTCTGTTTCTCTGTGAGGACTTTCCATATCCTCTTCCTGTTTATTTAATTTCAGAAAAAGGTGTTCATTATGTGGAGTTCATTTCATTCTTCTAACATGTGTATTATTTAAGGGTGTGTGAATATTCATGTTTAGAATTATAATTGAGTGCTTTGGTTCAACTTTCAAATACAGGAAAATATCTAAAGTGTCTAAACACAGCCTAATTGCGCAACTCTGTTAGGGTGGTGTCCAAAAAACTAATGCGAAAGTCATTACAGTAGGCTTTAAAACTCTCACTGATACCCTGGTTTTAAAGCCAGCACATATTTCCCTTGAGATTATGCCATTCCTGCATGTCGTGGCTCCAGCAAAAAAAGGCAGGGAATGTAATGGAAGACTGTTGTATTGCAAGCAAAAAAAAAGTCAGATCTAGTCAAGAAACTAAAAATTACTGCACTGAGCTTGTGAACAAAAGAAAGGTTTGAAATACTGGAAAGAGTTTTGAACTGCACTTTATACAGGTATTACAAAAATTGCTTTCTGATACGTTCTCATCTACTGAGGTGGCCAGCGACCGCAGGTTTTTTGGCTGCTGGAAACATCATGAGATCACGACGAGAGCCTGAAGACTTGTAATGAGGCATGACTTTTGTTTCTTCATGACAATGTGTTCGACAGCAGTTTCTCACCATGCTGTGTGCTCGAGGACATGAGCAAATTTGATTTTCTTAGTTATTTCTTTTAATTGTCAATAAAACCTTTAGTATTCTATTTGATATTTTTCGCCGCTATATGGCACTACTTGATCCAAGATAAAGTTCTAGTTTCAACCCTAAAGTTAATATTGTAGCTCATCATCTCACCTTTCTGTTTCCTATCTTCACACTGAAGTGTTTCATGACTATGGTGCACTGAGTATAGTTCTCGTGCATTGCATATTCAATATACTTGCCTATTACTGCTTCTTCACAGTAAAGGGCAAACAGAGGAGCGAACGCCTGCACCAATTTAAGTTTATATCTTATTTAGCTGGATGACTAGGATTGCTGGCCCTTCACAGACAATATGCAATTCTTGAATGTTTCCGGCAATGTTTTTGTGAACTAGAAGCCCTATGCCGCACTCTTTTATCGAAAAGCCCTCTGTAGCAGTGTGCCCATTAGTGCTGTATGTGCCTTTCCAGTTCTAATATCTCTAAGGTCAATTATATTCCACTCGAAGTTTTCCAAATCTTGAAATAACTCTGCTAATCTAACTGCACTTGAGAAGGTACTTGTGTTCAACATTGTGCAGGACAGATAACCACAGGTCAGTTAGAGCTACAGTATAGATACCAAGGGATGAATGCCATAGGCAAGGATGGCAGTGGATCGATAAAGTCACAAAATTTGAAAGTTCACTCACATAAAGTGAAACCAGATCCCACAGAATAGGGTTAGTTGCATATTATTGGCAGAAGCCTTTGACCTAGCGTGCACATAAAATAATAACTCAAAAATTATGAATGGTGATGATTTGCTGGTATCTAAAGCTAATATGGAGGGATACAACAGGATGTATGAATTGTGTTAAAAAAAATGCCAGGCCTGCGCAGAAGACGGAGCACAGTCGCAGCAAAAACTAGAAGAGCGGCCTTTCAAAGCCTTTCAAAACACTCATTGGGTAACTACTGCAAGCAAAGATGCATGATACCCACTAGGGTACCAATAATAAAATTTCTTGGGTAGTAAGTCGACATTCACTATGCTATTTTTCGTCATTTTTCTGAGAAGCGTGTATCTGCTAAACACTTGCAAAGAATTTTGAGCCAATTGTTCATGCAGTGGCTGAGTATGATGAGGAATAATAGCTGAAGTGGGTCTGTGCCACAGTTAATAGGGGAACAAGAACAAACTTTTGTAATTGGTTGTAGTATTGGATGACCCCCTCGTTACACTATTCGCATTGTGCGGCGACTGGTTGTTCTTTTGCTGTTTTAAAACGCTTTGTAAGTCGTATTAAC